CCCAATTATTTTTGCAGACACTGGTCTACTCATTTGTTTTTGGAGGCACCGGTCTACCCAATTATTTTTGCAGTCACTGGTCTACTCATTTGTTTTTGCAGGCACTGGTCTACTCATTTGTTTTTGGAGGCACTGGTCTACCCATTTTTTTTAGCAGGCACTGATCTACCCATTTGTTTTTGGAGGCACCGGTCTACCACCACACTGCCTTTTAACACTGATCAGCTGTAGGGTGGCCCTTTGAATCCCCGCGGCAACAGTTTAAACAGTTTTTTTCCTTCTAGCCGATCAGCTGGGACTCTGGAGGCAGCAATAGATTGGGGATGGGGCCAAATAAAAGGTAAGAATAATGCAGAGGGGGGGGCGGGGGAGGTGGACGAGCAGAACCAGTTCGGTGACGTCATATCGTCACCGCTACCGGCTCGGTGGAACCGGGCTGAACTGGGAGGAACCCACCACTGGTTCTGGATCTTAAAAGATGTTTTAATAATGCTTTCACAGCAGTGGTGGTATTCCACCAGTTCTATCCGGTTCGGGCAAACCAGTAGCAGTGGCTGCGGGAGGCTCCGCCCATCCTCCCGGACGTCATCAGGTCCCGTTTTTGATGCCCTGTGCATGCGCAGAAGGTCCTGCGCATGCACGGAAGTGGCGTGTGCGCTCACATTTGTGAACTGGTAGCGAAGGTAATTGCATACCACCTCTGTTTCACAGACTAAAGACAATATACTACTAAAATAATAAAAGTTTTGTTTTGCAAAAGCCTATGAAACACCTGGTTAATATTTTGCTGAAATCTGTCTTGGAACTTCTCAAGAGTTTTCTTGCCCTATGAAAGAGAAAATTGACTGTATTCTCAGAGTAATATGTAAAAAAAAAGGTGCTTTCATTTTAAATGTTGATTAAATTTGCAAGCTGATAAAATCCTGAATGGTAATGTTGAATTGAATGGATCCAGTTCAGACTAGAATTGGGGGTGGGGGGGAGGTGCCTGTAGGCAGGAGGCATAAGAGTGGATCAAATCTATTCATACTGGGATCACTTCGCCCATATAAATCAATACATTAATGCCATGTAAAAACCTAATTCTGTTAGGACAGGGTTGAGCAACTGTGACTCCTTTACAATGTGGACTTCAGCTCCCAGAAACCTTCAGAAACCACCATTCCTGAATGATGCCTCAGGAATTTGGGGACTTTTTTTTTTTTTTTAAATTTGATTTATATGCTGCCCTTCTCCGGAGACTCAGAGTGGCTTACAATGCGGTAAGCAATGAAGGGGGACTTGAAGGCCACAGGTGATAAAGGAGCCATACCAGTGGTGGGTTTCAAAATTTTTTACTACAGGTTCTGTGGGCATGGCTTGGTGGGCGTGGCAGGGGAAGGATACTGTAAAATCTCCATTTCCTCCCGATCAGGAGGGGAGGCAGAGAATAGATGGGGGCGGGGCCAGTCAGAATTTTTACTACCGATTCTCCGAACTATCAAAATTTTCACTACCGGTTCCCCAGAACTGGTCAGAACCTGCTGAAACCCACCTCTGGGCCATACAGTAGTTACTCCATGCCTGAGGTAGGATATTCTACTGAGATGTTTTCATATTGAATCTCCAAACTGATTATTTGTACATCCCTGTTTCTTATAAATTTCTATAAGTGTTTGGGGCTTATTTTATTTGAACATGCTATTGATGTTAGAGTGATCATTTTGAGGCCTCCTTGTTGGGTTGATCACTTTGAGGCCTGAAAGTCCCACATTTGGAATGAGGAAAGCTAATGGGACGACTGCACCCTGAGCTCACACATGCTTCCCATTGGCTTTTTTAAAAAGTTCAGAAAAACGGGTGCTCCAGATCACAGGAGAAATCACGAGGCGATCGCGCGCAAAGCGCGCGCACAAAGAGAACCGGTAGTAAAGCCGGTTAGAACCCACCCCTGGTCGTAAGTGGGGAAATGGTCATAAGTCATTTTTTCAATTTTGTTCTAACTTTGAACAATCACTAAACAAAAAGTTGTAAGTTGAGGACTACCAGTTCTGACTACAAGTAATCCTCGATTTATGACCACAATAGAGCCCAAAATTGACGTTGCTAAGTGAGAAATTTGTTAAGTGAGTTTTGCCCCATTTTACGATTTTTCTTGCCACATTTGTTAAGGGAATCACTGCCGTTGTTAAATCAGTAAAACGGTTGTTAAGTAAATCGGCTTTCCCCATTGACTTTGCCTATCAGAAGGTGGCAAAATGGGATCACGTGATCCTAAGACACTGGAACCGTCATACTGTAAATGTGAGTCAGTTGTCAATGTAAATCACATGACCATGGGGATGCTGTAAGTGTCATAAGTGTGAAAAATGGTCATAACTCACTTTTCTTTACTGCCGTTGTAACTTCAAACGGTCACTAAGTGAACTGTTTTAAATCAAGGACTACCTGTATTCTTCAAGGAACCAGTAGGAGTACAATTTTTTAAAAAAATATTAAAAGGATTTTTTTTAAAAAAAAATAATAACTTGCCACACTCTCTCCAAATTTCCACTCCCGTTTGTGTCTCCTCAAATCAGGAATGCAGAAAATTATTTATCCCCTTAAATTAAAAGATATTCCTTAAATAAGGGTCATAAAGACCGGCCATGGGTTTCATTATTTTCTGTTTTTTATTATATTAAAACATTCAATTTGATGTTGACCTTTGAAGGGGCTCTGAAGGCTGTGCCCCAGACTACCAGGTAGGCTCTGTTATAAAATTAAGTTCATGCTTCATTTATTTATTAATATTTATTTACATGGTTATATCATTACTCTGTGACACTTTGCATCCTACTTATAGAATAGAATAACAGTGTTGGAAGGGATCTTGGAGGTCTTCTAGTCCACCCTTGCCCAAGCAGGAAACCCACTTCAGACAAATGGTTATCCAACATCTTCTTAAAAACTTTCAGTGTTGGAGCATTCACAACTTCTGCAGGCAAGTTGTTCCATTGATTAATTGTTCTAACTGTCAGGAAATTTCTCCTTAGTTCTAAATTGCTTCTCTCCTTGATGAGTTTCCGCCCATTGCTTCTTGTTCTACCCTCAGATGCTTTGGAGAATAGAGTGACTCCCTCTTCTTTGTGGCAACCCCTGAGATATTGGAACACTGCTATCATGTCTCCCCTAGTCCTTCTTTTCATTAAACTAGACATACCCAGTTCCTGCAACTGTTCTTCATATGTTTTAGCCTCCAGTCCCCTAATCATCTTTGTTGCTCTTCTCTGCACTCTTTCTAGAGTCTCAACATCTTTTTTACACCGTGGTGACCAAAACTGAATGCAATATTCCAAGTGAGCAATATTGCAAGTGCATATTTATTCCAAATTAAGTCCTACTATATTGACTGTGATTTACAGCCTAAGAAGTCTGCATAGGGTTGCACTCTTAGAACGTGAGCATTGTAATCCGTTTCATATCAAAAATAAAGCTTTTGATAGAGTTGAAAGTAAAAACAGAGGCAAATCTAGAGTCTTAGCATATGCAATGCAGTTCATATTGCCAAGCAACCTCTGCAAAGAAATAGCCTTAGAAACTCTGGAAATAAAGTCCAAAATCAGCCAACTTATTCAACTAGATAGGTGATATGTTTTGAAGTCAGATTTATAAGAGAAAATCAACAACAACTGGAAATGGCTCTTTTACACCTTTATTTAAATGCATTTGTCCCAGACCAAACCATACCAAAAACTGCTGATAAAATGTAAATTGCAATGGCGTTTAGAGGGCCAATGCAAGAAAGGAGAACAATGTTGCAAAAGGAAGAGTAAGAAGCATAGATCACCACCAAATCACAAATATTTGAGATGCAGAAGTCCTACCTAGTGTGTACTGTTTTATGTGTGTCTAACCTGGAGAGAAATTCTAAGATGTACAGTATTTCATGCATAATAATCAGTATGGGCTTGAAACTGAAAACGTAGATTTGACTCCCAGTGAAGTCTAACTATATTCAATAGCAAGGATTTCTGAGTAAGTATACTTACAACTTTAGTGCAATCCTACAGAGTTATACAACTGGTGTTCCCAGCTTACTAATATCCAGTTACATTGGAACTGAATTCTTGCAGTTCCCAGTCAACATGTTTTAACTCACATCATAATCTCCAGACCACAATGATAGAAATTTTAATAAAACTAGTTCCACTGATTGATATTATATTTCTATATCAATAATTTTCTTCTTTTCCCTTTTTGCTTGCTCATTTGATTTTCTTTCTTCTTTTAAAAAAAATAAAAACTCCCTGTTTTTAGGGCCCTTCTTGTTTCAATAAAAACCCAAATTTTAGCCCAAAAAGCTGAAGCTTACTGACACCCATGTTTTTCCCCCGGTTAGATATGCATAGGATTCCACTGTTAGCATATTTGAATGAACGCTTTATTTTATTTTTTTTATAAAGCAAAGAATAATTGTCTCCAAAGTTGCAGAAAACTTTTACTGATGTCAAATTTCAGTTTTATTAAATCAAAGAAGTAAACAGAGTGTGCCAGATTGGGCTGGATGAAAAACGTTCACAAGAATATTCACCAGAGTGAAAATTGTTGTGAACAGCGTATGTTTAATACTAACATTCACAAATTCTCTAGAAGCAACACTCTCAGTGTGAAAGCTATTGACAACATGTTTTATTCAAAACATATTTGAAAGAAGTCAATGTATTCTATTGACGCAAGAAAAGAGCTGATTTTTCCAATTCGCTAGCTTCTAGATTGTAATTATGAATATGTTCTTTCCTTTCTTTTTCATTTTTTTCCACCTCAATTATAATGACTTATCTCAGTAATGAATGAGACTGCAACTTTGCCTCTGTTTCCCCTGAAGTAAGCCTCAATAGATACATTGGCTTTCTTTCTGAACATCCATGTATCAACTAAACCATGCTTAGGGATGCACTGCAGGATTCAGCACCTAGTTAAGATGCTGGGCATAAATCTTGATTTGGAAGTTTAGTAAGAGATTTTGCGATAAGTATTACCTTTGTTAACCGCTGTTTAGGTTTCACGCCCATCAACGTGTTTCTTGTCATTGGATCCATGATTGCTGGTAGTCACTTGCTCAAAAGAGTTGTGCAAAAGATGAGTTTCCGACTTTTATTAGATTTGTTGCTTAAAGAGCTGGAGAGGCATAGTTGATCGTATACGATTCCCAAGGGGAGGAGGAGAAGGAGAGACAGTTGGTGGCAGACAACATGAGAGAATTAGAGGAAGCTTATTTGTAGCCACTGGTAAGGATATAATTAATCAACTCAAATGTTAATGAAAAACCAAGCATTCTGCACACCAGTTGTTTAAATAGAGAAAGTGCAAAGGCCAAAGGAGTTTGCACAATGATAAACCCACCAAAATGAGCTGAAATGTTCACTAGGAGTTTATTGCATTCTAGACAGCGAAATAGAGGAAGTCTTCCCCTAACTTGTTGTCCCAATATGCTGGACTCCAACTCCAAAATATTCAGATAATTTCATAAGAGTTACCCTTTTCCAAACTGGTACCTAGGAAAATCCTGGGTTTGCAATTCTCAGATTCCCATCCTAGTTGGCTATCATTTTCAGGGTTGCAATCCCAGTTTGATAATGCCGGATTGTTGGGAAATTTCTCTAGGATAGTAATTCTGATTTTTTGCTCCTCCAATAAAAAATTGCAAGATGTTGTTTTTCTTCTACATCAGAGTCTCCAAACTCGGCAATTTTAAGTCTTGTGGACTTCAGCTCCCAGAATTCCTCAGGCAGTCATGCTGGCTGAGGAATTCTGGGAGTTGAAGTCCATAAATCTTAAAGTTGCCAAGTTTGGAGAACCCTGTTCTACATATATTCTATTCATAACTTTTATAGGTAGTCCTCAATTTATGACTACAATTGGGACCAGAACTCCATTGCTAAGGTATGGTTAGTACTGATTTATGGTTAAACTGAGATTAGATAGTTGCAAATCATCATCATCATCATCATCATCATCATCATCATCATCATCATCATCCATGGAGCCTCCAGGATTTTGATTCAAATCACAACTGTCAGAAATATGAAATAACAAATCTCCATGGAATGATGTTGCTATCATCTCTCACATTTGGCTATGCTGGATATAATTGGCATCTAACAAGTGGATGGCCAATCCAGCCTATTCCTGTGCTAATTATTAAGAGAATATTTAAATTCCATTAAAATCATTTACCCTAAATACTTGGAGAATAGTTAACCCAGTTGAAGTTAGTGTATCCTAGTACCATAAGTGGATAGAAGATGGAAGAGTTCTTCTCCAGCCTTCCTGAACTTGAAATACTGATGATGTTACCTAGTTTGGGTAATGAAACAACCAAGTTTAGAGAGCACCAAATACCCCTTATTTCAACCTTGAGCTACAAATATTCTCCTTTATACAACTTGGTTCCTCCAAAGAAATATTATTTATTCCCGTCTAATACTCATCTGGTGGTATGAATTCCTTGGAGCTTAATTCTAACCAGAGATGTCTAGAAAATTACATTTTAAAATGCTTACTGGGTCCTGAATTAATAGTTCCAACAATTATATTGCCTTAGGGCAAAAAGAGACAGTAAGTGCTGTATATTTAGTTTTCAAAGATGTGTATTTTTTCTGAACTAGAGCCATTTGATTTTGAACCCCAGTTAACAAGTTAAGAGCAAGCGGTTAATACTTTCACTTGTAACTCTGTGAACAAAGTTCACAATGTTATTCCCATATTTCTAAAGAATCATTGGGGGACACTAGGAACTCAGTTCTGGTTCACCTTTGAGGATACCTTTAATCTATTACATGCTATGGGTTTCAGTGATGGTCCCTGGAATGGAAGAGAATCGCCTGGATTTTGGAATGCCTATTTATCAAGATCAAAGCACCACAAATAATTCAGCTCCAGTTGGATGTTGGATGTTGAATTTGTGCACTGCCCCTTCGAGGAAGTCCAAGGACAGTCAAGAGTGATGGTAGAGAGTCTGCACTATAAGCTGTTTTGTTTTTTAAATTGTCATAGGTCAACCGTGCACTCTTTTAAATGCTTTTCACGTGGAAATAATATGCACAAACAAACTTCATTTGCTCTGATTGCAAATAAAACCTTAATTTAAGGAGGAAAAAAAAAATAGGCCAGTTGGTTTCTCAACGGACAGCAAAGAGTAAAATGTGGCTATTATTTATTGATTCAAGAAACTTTAGATAAAGGTATGAAGTGGTTGTTTTGTGATATGTCACATGTCTGCCTTCATAACATCAAGGATGTTCTCTGGATTATGACAGTGTAATATTTACAAAGTCCAAAAGGTAAGGTACCTAATTCTGATTGAAACGAGAAGGACCTTAAAAGCAGGGACTGTAATGGTTTACTATTGTGCTGTTTTTTAAAAAAGTAATACATATCTTGAATATTTTCCACATCAGCTTCTGCAACAACATTCAGATGGGTTTTTTTTCCCAGTTCTGTCTCAAAATGCACAGAACTGAGCTGGCTTGGCTCTTTTGGTATGCAAAACATTTGTTTTCCTACTGATCACCTTTCCTCCAACTGTTTTGTTGTAACCAGCTGTACTCTCTTCACTTTCTTTCTTCAATGTCAGTAAAGATTCCTACTTGCTCTAATCGTGAGACGACCTGTGCCCTGTCCTTTATACTCAAACATGTTAATTTGAGTATATTGTCCTATCATAGTAGTTGATGTACGAGAATACTATTGTATTTGGATTATGCATTCAGGGTTTATTGAACAAAATCAAATAAATATTTCAGATAGCCTTGAGGTAGATTTGGTAATATTTGCCCAAATATTAACTTGGTATGGAAAAAACCAATCAATCAAAAAATCAATCTGTTTCACTTGGAATTTGGTTTCAATTGAAATTTAATATTCTCTACATTCTAAAAACAATGTGCTATAAATTCTGTTCACTCTGCTTGGTCAGGCAGATAGTAGGGTTCTTTAAAGCTCAAGAACTATGGTAAATGAAATTTTCAGAAGGTGTGGTATTTAGTTTCACAGCTCTTTATAAAAGGGGCTGCAGAAACCTACATACACCAAAATAAATAGCAATAGCACTTGGACTTATATACCGCTTCACAGTACTTTACAGTCCTGTCTAAGCAGTTTTACAGCATATTGCCCCCAACAATCTGGGTCCTCATTTTATGCACAGAAGGATGGAAGGCTGAGTCAACCTTGAGCCTGGTGAGATTTGAACTGCCAAATTACAGGCATCCGGCAGTCAGCAGTAGTAGCCTGAAGTACTGCATTCTAACCACTGAGCCACCGTGGCTCAAATTATATTTTTTTACTTTGCATTATCTGAAACTCTTGGCATTGAGGAGGTAGGAATATTTGCTTTCAGAATGGGCACTCAGTGGTCTTTAAAATACCATTAATAGCCCTAGTATATACCCTAACAATGTAGAAGTTGGGTGCATGATCCATATCCATTTCCCAGCTATATATGAATGGAGTTTGAGCCACACTGGGCTCAAGGTTGACTCAAGCTTCCATCCTTCCAAAGTTGGTAAAACGAGGACCCAGATTGTTGGGGGCAATATGCAGATAATGCTTCTATATTGTAAACCACCCAGAGAGTGCTATAAATTGCTATTGGGTGGTATGTAAGCCTAAAAGCTATTTGCTGTTTTGGAACAAAATTTTCTCATGGCACAATAGCACATTTAATCATGAGTCCAAAACCTTGCATAATCCAGTAGTAACACAAAACCAATTGAAGACAAGTTAGTAGAATTTAGTTGCAGGTTAAGCACGGAATAAAAATAAGAGGTCTAAAGACCATTTAAGGGCCAGCATAAGCCACCTAAAATGTGAAACTAATTGTATACAATTCCGAAAATGTTCATAAATAATGGTAGAATAATTGTGTTTCTAATGCTTGTCAGTTTGAACGGCTGATTTTCAAACTGAGTCCCTGAACCTGAACTTTTGACCACAGATACATTTGGATGGTACAGCCCATCTTTCAAATAGATCCAAACTATTTAGTGTTTTAAAGGTCAAATCTAATACCGTATTTCAAAATAATTCTGGATATGTGCCATCAGATAGTTCAACCCAATACTGAAGGAATCTATTGCAGGATTCCTATCTTTGGGATTATCTGAATCTTTGGATTTAATTCATGGAGTTCTTGCTAGCCACTTGCTTTCAAGTTTGCACTACTAAAGATGTTTTGCAGATATTTAATCTGGTCTCAATTCTTTCTGAGAATTGTCACATTCTCATTTTACATCTTTTCTTTTTCAATGAAGTCGTTAGAAGTTGTCCATTAAAAACAAGCACAGATTTCTACTGTCTGCAAATGGGCATTTTATAAATTCCAAGCTTCCCTCATGGTTTCTCTTGGCATTTCCACAAGAGGTCTCTACGCCCATTCAAAAGCAGGACTTCTGTTTTCCCATGATATTGGTTAAGTTTGAAAGTTCAGGTGATTTATTCCTGGCTCATTTGCAGAGCATTTTGAAACCACATTAAAACTAATCTTCAAAATGTTGTGGCTGTGTGAAATGTAAGGGGAAACAATTCTCCATTTGCAAGTGCTCCTGGACTTCAGCCATCTTTGCAGGTCTTTTAAGGGGAAAGGTGGCTTGACAGCTTCTTAGCTTCTCTTCATAAGCTGTTATGTTCCAGTTTGTTTGTACACAATCAGATAATGCATATAACAGGCATTAAGGAGATTGATGGGGAAAGGCACAACATACAGAGTAGGAATAAGGGGAATTTTGTTAATCCAGGATCACATCAACTCCTGATAGGACAGTGATTAAATGCCATTCTTTGTGACAAAATTCTCAGAATTTTGAAGAATGCTCTTAATGGGGTAGCAGGTAGTTCTTGATTTACAATAGTTCATTTAGTGACCATTCAAAGTTACAACAACGCTGAAAAAATCTGACATGACTGTTTTTCACATATATGACCATTGCAGGATTTCCACAGTCACATGATCAAAATTCAGATGCTTGTCAACTGACTCATATTTATGACGATTGCAGTGTCCCGGGGTCATGTGATCCCCTTTTGTGACAACCTGACAAGCGAAGTCAATGGGGAAGCCAGATTCACTTAACAATGTGTTAGTAACTTAACAACTGCAGTAATTCACTTAAAAATAATTTATGATTGTTTTTCACACTTATGACTGTTGCAGCATCCCCATGGTCATGTGATCAAAATTCCAATATCACATGACAAGCCATC